GGGGCGTGCGGCGGAGGGGGAGCGCCGCCGGGGCGGGCTGCGCCGGGCGCGCGGGAGGGTGCAGGGCATGGGGGTGAGCTCTCGCCAGGTGACGGCCAGAGAGGGACCCCTGGCAGCGGTGGCAGGGTGGCCGACCGGGAAGGGTCAGGGATCCACCTGCAACGAGAAGTGTGGTTTTTTTCTTTAATTTCGTATATTTTTATATCCCTGGGTGCCTCCCAGGCGGGATGAGGGATGTGCTGGTGTCATGGCTGCGGTGAGAGACCCTAGGGATGCTTGAGGGCCCTGCAGGTCTCAGTAAGCCTTTTCCTCGTTGCAGGGCAAGGATGAGTCTGTTTGGATCAACATCAGGCTTTGGTACTGGAGGTACCAGCATGTTTGGCAGCACGACTGCAGATAACCATAATCCAATGAAGGTATGTCCGTTAGCCCCTGTGGGAACCACTGTTCTGCTGTGTTTTAGTGCATCACAGCAGTACCTGCTAACACACCCTGTAGAAGTAATAGGTTCTCAGTGCACAGTTTTCAAATGTGGCTAATTTTGTTCTATTTTTTGTCCTTTATAGGATATTGAAGTGACATCTCCACCCGATGACAGCATATCTTGTTTAGCATTTAGCCCGCCAACATTGCCGGGTAATTTCCTCATTGCAGGATCATGGGCAAATGATGTAAGTACTCACAGTCAGACCTACAGATGAATAAAGTGGGAGCCTGAAGTGCCTAAAGTGCAAAACGTGATCCTAAAAACTTGCGCCAGGGCACCTGAAAATCTTCCTCTTTGCAGAACTGCAAAGTGTGTGTCTGGTACCAAGGCACTAAGTTTGATATAGCTGAGCTGCTTCAACTGAGAAAATCATTTGTGATCTTCAGATAAGTTATTCCTCTGCCTGTGTATTTTAAGCTTCAGCTGGGAATATGTAGTCAATGTTTTCCCTGTTAGATTTTTATTACTTTGATTTTTCTTTTTCCTACTTGTTTGTTTTTTAGCTTCATTTTCTTACACAGTTAGGCTAACATAGTTACGCTTTGCCCGGTGAAAGAACCATGAACACAATGGTAAGTCGTCCAGTTTGACAGTGTAGTCTCCAAAAGATGACGTTCGTACAAACTTACTGAAGTTTGTTTGGATTGAAGGGTGAGATCCCAACTGGTACAAACAGGCACGGGAAGACAAACGCGAGCGCGTTTTTTAATTGTTCTGTTTGGTCTGTTGGCCAGTAGCCTGCAGCAGGCAGCTTCTCCCTAGCTGATGGTTAAGGGTTCTCCAGGAGAGCACAGGGAGGTGATATGTGATTGGAAGGTACTTTTGAGGTGGGGTTGAAGTTGTGGGTTGAGTTATGGCTGTACAGGTAAAAGGAACATAATCAGATAAAATATAGGTTTCACTAGTTCTGAAAAAAGCTTGGTGTTTATAATCATACTTTTCGTTGGTTGAGCTGAGGCTGGGATCTTCAACAAGAGAAGTCTTCTAAGTTCATGTTAATATGTTATGTCTGTATATGCTTCTGTTACAGGTTCGCTGCTGGGAAGTTCAAGATAATGGACAGACAATTCCGAAGGCTCAGCAGATGCACACAGGGCCCGTACTAGATGGCTGCTGGAGTGATGTATGTTCCTATTTATATAAACAACTTCTACCAGAACCCTAAATAAATTGGCGTGTGGTTTCCAGACAGACATGGGTGCCACATGTAGATGCAGCCCATGATTACTGTATAGACTTATGTTACTGTAAATACGTGCTAAGCATGTTCTAGTAGAATAGACTAACATGGGCGTAAGAAGGGTAGAAGTGAGTTTAAAAGTAAGAATGTATTTAAAGTTAGATAATAGCTAGCACAGTTTTTCCATTTTTATGTTTCTTTTGTCTTGCAGTCCCTGTATATTTTGCTTTAATGCTATGCTATTACTAAAAGAGAATAAGACTTGACAGATAGATACTGCATGATAGAGCTATTTAATCTCTTGGCCTTATTTTTGGTTTTTTTTAGGATGGGAGTAAAGTATTTACTGCTTCCTGTGATAAAACTGCCAAAATGTGGGATCTCAACAGTAATCAAGCTATTCAGATTGCACAAGTAAGTAAGCCAGCCTCAAGCTATTAGGTGGGGTTTTTTTCCTTTTCTATTTTTATTAAATGCTACCTTTATTAGCAAATTAAGCTAATGTTTAGTGCTTCTGAAGTAGATGCTGCTATGTGAAGAAGAGGCTGTAGAGTGCTTCTTATATTTTTGAGATAATGAAGTGCACGTAAATAGGGAGACCTGCAGTCAAAGTGATTTGAATAACCTGTGCAGCTGTTTCATCTATTTTACTTGAGAGAGCTCTTTCCATTGCTGCTGTGATCTCACCAAGTCACCCTGCTGCATTATAGGGGGAAAAAAAATGAAGAAATCATTGAATTCACTTTCACAAATACCACCTTTCTGCTGCAGCAGTAACAGGGATTATCATTTACATTCTTAATTTAGAAGTGAATGTCTGTTCATAGAATATGTAGTTATGGTGACTAAAATGAGTTACCAGTTATACAATTTAGAGAAGAGAGTGAATCCTTTTAATGATAGCTTCTTATCTCTTATTTGAGGTGATAACATTCAGATTCTCAGCCTTGATTCTAAAATCTTGTTGGCATAATTAACATAGGCCTTTCTTCTGTAGCTCTTGTCAGCAGAGACTGGTTTTTATATTGGTTTGTAATAAATAATGTACTATATTAAAGTGTTGATTTTTAGCATGATGGATAATATCCTTTATAAATAAATAGCAAGTCCTGCTGTTCATAATTTGTATTTCTGCTGTGACCATCTTCCTATATAGGGTGACTTGATTGTAGTTCTTCTTGTCAGGAACCTTTATCCTAACTGCTGGACTAAAATAATGAATCACTTTTCTTGAGTGGATAAAAAGTGTAAATACACACAAAAAAATATGAGGAGCATAAACAAGAAATGCGGATTGTTATCTTAGTAAATGTATGCGTGTCTGACCTTTTTGTCTTCAGCATGATGCCCCTGTGAAGACTATCCATTGGATTAAAGCACCAAATTATAGCTGTGTGATGACGGGAAGCTGGGATAAAACTTTGAAGGTATGATTTTTACCTGAACAAATGGACGCAAAAGGGTGCTAGTAATCTGTGTATGAAAATATTTATGTGAAATGAAAATATTTTATTAAACTCTAATGCAAAATACAGATTAATGAAATAGTCTCACTTCACAGAGAGTCGCAGTATTCTGACTATAGACAAGAATGCAACAACTTGGTACCAATTGTATTCTCTTTACTGAAGTAATTTAAATGGCGCATCCTCAACTCCAAGCATAACTTTGTTCATTGCTGTTTCCATCAGTTCTGGGATACCCGTTCACCAACACCTATGATGACACTGCAGCTCCCTGAAAGATGTTATTGTGCAGATGTGGTAAGCCATGATATACAGTAAACTAGTGTCAGCTAGATGACTGGGAGTATGAATAAACTGGAAGTCTTTGAGGCTTCTGTAGGTTAGCACTAAATACCGGCTGTTAGTATAGAATCATAGAATAGTATTGGACCTCTGTGTGATTTTTAGCAATAAAACATAAATTGATCTTCTTGATTAGGCTCTGGAAGATAGGTGTTAGCATCATACAAAACATGTTTAGTATCCTTTTAACATCACAAAACCAAATCAGCGCTAGGACTGACCTATCCTAATTTCTGGATGAGTGTTGCGATTCACATTGGGAGGGTCAGCTAATAACTAGGAGATTTTTGGTATGTTTAATTTCTCAATGGCAGGGAAGAACTGATGAGTTTTGTTTGAAGATATGTCTACAAATGAACTTCTTTCCCTCCCTCTTTCCCCCCCAGAAAATAGTAAATTCCTTTAACTTCTTCAGGGATTTCTGTGAAATAATAAATAGAATTCTCTGCCGTGCTATTAACACAAGTGTCTCTCTTCCAACCTATTTTACAACCTTATCCAGGTTCATCCTATGGCTGCTGTGGCCACTGCAGAAAGGGGTTTGATAGTTTATCAGTTAGAGAATCAACCTTCTGAATTTAGAAGAATAGAATCTCCTCTTAAACACCAGGTAAATGATTGTATCTATTATTTATACAGATTGTTGAAATTCTGGGCTTGCCATTTTTTGGTAAAAACAAACAGTGTTTCAAAACCGAAGTACTTTATCTTGGTATGGCATGTGTCCTGGTTTGCCATTGATCTATTGCTGATCTTCATGAGGATTTAGAAATGTAAATACTGTGGCTCAAATTCTCAATACAATTTGACCTATCTCTTGACCTTGTTTGTGGTTTTGCTTTACTTTGCATTGATGTATGTGATGTTTTGTGTCCCCATGGAAAACAGACAGCATTCAGAAAATCTGCCCCTCAGGCCTCTGTCTAAAATCCTCTGTATCTTTCTCAAATTTAGCATCGCTGTGTTGCTATTTTTAAAGACAAAGTGAACAAACCTACTGGATTTGCCCTTGGAAGTATTGAAGGAAGAGTAGCTATTCATTATATCAACCCCCCAAATCCGTAAGTATCATTTAATAAAACATCCTTTCTTTATTGCTCAGTTTACAATGAGGAAAGTAAAAAGACTTTTTTTTTTTTTTTTTGACCCCCAGTGCAAAAGATAATTTCACTTTTAAATGCCATCGCTCCAATGGAACAAACACATCAGCACCTCAGGATATCTATGCTGTAAGTGTTCAGCATGTACCACTATACAGGGCAATATACACTCTGAATGTAAAATTGGCTATGAATTGTTTGTTCTCCTTTACCTTTTATCTTGCCTAAAGTTATCTTAGATGTATGTTTAAAGACCAGTCATAGTCGTACATTAAGAGGGAAGAAAAATTTTTGTACTTCCCTTAAAACAAGCACCACATCAGCCATTCATTAAATAATCTTGGTGGAGATGACACTTGTTAATTGTGCTGATATTGAAGCAATACTTAATATATTTGTGTAATGGGATTATGCATTGAATTTTTAGGCACTACAAAAAAGATGATGCTTTCCTTGTTGCTTTGGTGGGGTTTTTTTGGTTTTTTTGTTTGTTTTTTTTCCAGAGAATGTATCTGAGAAGATTTTAAAAAAATAAGAACTATATCTAGTTGAAAAAAAATCTTTCCTGTGTATGTACTCTCTCAGGATTCAGCACATATGTTGTGAGTGTTCCCATGTGTGGTGTTTTACATCGTATTTTTTACGATTCTGCAGGTAAATGGCATAGCATTTCACCCTGTCCATGGTACTCTTGCAACAGTAGGATCTGATGGTAGATTCAGCTTCTGGGATAAAGATGCACGAACAAAGCTAAAAACATCAGAACAACTTGACCAGCCGATATCTGCTTGTTGTTTCAACCATAATGGCAATATATTTGCGTATGCTTCCAGTTATGATTGGTCAAAGGTAAGAAAGGTTTAGGCTCATATTCATACTTGCAGTTGACAACTAAGACTATCCTTTTCACATGAGGCTTTCACTGTTCTTTATAAATAGTAGCTGAGTCTTTCTAATTTCACAAGCATGCAAGAGAACTTACAATGGTCGTTTTAGACATCTGATGAAATTTAACACTGAAGTCGTGCATTCTTTGGTTTTTAGCTTCAGTTGGATAAGATTGCTAAACAATGCTATTTTGCAAATGTGGATGAGCAAAATGTAAATTACGTGATTCAGAAGTTATTCTGGTTGCTCACACGCATTCTGCTGTGGGGAGTGTCATGGGGCTGTGTGGCACCCGAACAGGTTCCCATAAATCTCCTCGAAACGCACATCTCTGCTGCTTCTGCAGATTCCCTTTAACTTTAAAAAAAGCTGTGACTGTGGTTATAAACACTTAAACCAGTGTTTGAATGCCATGTACTAAATTTCCAGTACCATTCAGTGCAGCTTGCTGGTGGCACTTAGATACGTATTTCTCTCCCAAATGACTCAACAATAACTCATACAGATGCAAGAGAATCACAGTGAACAAAGTATGTGGAGAATCAATGCTCCGGAATAGTTTAAGAAGGGGGTAGCAAGGTTGAAATGTAACTGACTTTAATGGAATGGCAACTTCCATTAAAAGTATTACTTTCCTGTTATAACTAGTGCTTTTAAATTTGAGAATAACATTCCGTGTGGTTTTGACTGAAACGAATGCAGAAATCACACAGATAAAGTTGACTGCATGCCACAAAGAGAGCAAAATTATAATTTACCGCATTATATCTAGTCTTCTGGACGCTGCCCAAAGTAAGATAACTTTGTTAGATGCTAGGGCAGATAATTCTTCTGTTCTAAATGCTTGGGTAGACTGCAGCGGCAGATACGTACGAGCTATCGTTGAGATCTGTAAACCAATATTAAGTAGTAAAACTATTAGGTACTAAATGTCCTTTCTAGAACCATTTCTGTCAAGTGGAGTTGGTAATTTTCAAGTTGTGCATGGGACTTTAATAGCTTTATTAGTGTTTACTCTCCCTGATTTGAATACTTGTGCATCGAGTTGCTAATATGCATGCAAATAAAGTCAATATGCAAAATAGTATATTTGCATTTGCAGTAGGGGAGCAGAGAGATTTTTGCAGTTGCCTGTAGAACTTGGGCTTCATTTCGAAAAAATGTGACCTTATTTCATTTAAAAGGTAGAAAATATAAAGTGAACCTGGATGGCCATTAAAGTTTTAGTTTCTTCTCTGCCTAGAATGACATTTAAAAAAAAAAAAGCATATTGAGCTCTTAGGCTGCATCTATAAAGTAGAGCTTAGAGATATGTGGTTATTTTTTTATGAAAAGTTTTTTATACCTTAAAACCAAATAAACGCCCTTTAAATTGTACTTTATATGCACAGTTCTTGTAATTGTTTGTTATATTAAGCTGTTTCTAATCCACCGGTGTTATCCAATATCTGGTCTTAAAGACTTTAAAATTAAATCTTAATAAACCAAACTAATGGAATATTCATATTCTTACATTTTAACGTAATGCTGATATTTCTTCTCTGAAGAGAGTAAATACAGATGACTCTTCTTTTTAGGGTCATGAATTTTATAATCCACAGAAGAAAAACTACATTTTTCTGCGAAATGCAGCAGAGGAGTTAAAGCCTAGGAATAAGAAGTAGTGAGTATGAGTCTGACTTGTGTTACTCTACTGTTTTTCTGCCATTCCTGCCTCTACTCCACTGCTCTTCTGCCATTTGTGCCCTGTTGCACCACGGTTCAGTCAACTTTGGATCACTAACATTTAGCAGGAACTGTAAAAATTACATTAAATGTATTCTGACTTGCTGGAGAACATTTTTTTTCAAATTAGATATTCCGATGTGTATAAGAAAGAGAGGCTAGTATTCACGTGACTTAACCACTGTCTGTTCCACAGCAATAATGAAATTGCAGCAAAATCAATATCTGGGTTAGATATTCCTGCTTAGAAGTGCAACCATTTGTATCTATGGATTTATTTTATTAGTACTACATTAAAATATGTTGATTATAATAGTTCTGGAGAAGTTGTATAAATACTGTATTTTTTGTATGTACTGGAAGAATTGCAAGTAATTCTTCTCAGAGGAGGCTTGTTATTACTTATTATTCAGGGGTTCTTTCATTGCTTTCTGATTTTTAAAATGGAAATATTGTCTACTGTATGCCAGGAAGAAATGCCTTGCAAATTGTTTTCCTTCATTTTTGGATGAATTTGGTAGGTACGTAAGTGGCCAACAGCAGTGACAGAAACTCCAGATGGAAGATGGGCACAGTGCAAATTCTGCTTTAGTTTTTCCTTACGCTCCAGCAGTGGACGTGACTTTTGAGCCAACGATACTCATGCTTATTCTAATCCAAAGGAGAAATTGTCAGTCGTGCCAAGTGATATATAGTTCAGTAATAGGAGCAAACCATTAAAGGCTTTGTTTTGTTCATGACCAAACCAATGTGTGGAAAATACTCGTGGCCTAAACTGCTTTAAAACTGACACCTTTTAGAGTTAAAAGTTGGTTCTTTTGCATCTCTCTTAACATGTTTTTGTCCCTTAACAGGGGTTTCTGGAAAAATGTACTCATTTTTGTATTAACTAGAAAATAGCGCTGGTGAGTTTCATCCCGATGAAACATGCTGTGAAACAAAACAAGTGGGTCTCTTGCTGACTTGAATCTACCACTGTTCACTTTTAACTAGCCAGTTGTATACATGCCAAAGTTTTCTTTTTAGAAGTGAATGCTTATTATTCCTGTTTAACTATTGTTTGTTTGATAATGACTAAATAAAAATGGGGGGGGGAGGGGGCGCATGTATAGAAATACCTGTCATATTGTACAAATTCTCTGTAAAACTGTATGTTGTAACACTTATGGATTCATGCTATGTTTCAAATAAAATTTTTACTAAATGCTTTTTTATATTCGAAAGTTCTATTATAATAACATGGTCAGGATGGTGTGCTTCACTTCCAAAAGCAGTTGCTTGTCCTTTCATTGTAGTTCAGATATATTTTCTGAAAGTAAAGTACTTTTCCCTCAGCTGCTTGAGCTGGAAATCTAATGCGTTTTCCAATTGCTGTTTCATTATGAATGACTCCTGTGGTTTGGCGTCAAAGAATTAAGAGGACTAGTGTGAAAGGCCTTTTGTTTTATGAGAACGAATCAAGCTCCTTGCTATCTCGACAGCCAGACACCTGACGATTTGTCTTCAGTACAAATGAATCATACTGTCTTCAAACTCTGTAGCCTACTGGTCCTTTAACTTCAGACTCTACGGTGTTCATCAGTTTTTGTTGGGTGTGTATTTCTCGTTTGGTGTAGTTGCGTAGTTGAGGAAAGCCCATGAAATACACTCTGCTGTTGTTCAGAGATGCTCTTTTCTGAGTTCTGTTTCTCAAGTTAGTTTTTTTTCCTGCTACTTCTCTGTTTTACATAGTTTTAGATTTCATATTAATGGACTATTTGTTTGCTTTAAGATAGAAAGAGTTCCCAGCAGTTACATCAATAGCCGGTCATTTGCTCAAACATTTATTTTGGTTTTGATGAATTTTATTTTTAAAGGTTGTGATTGTTAGGCTGTAATCTTTGGTTGTTAGCACATTTTTCCAGTCTTCCCAGTCAAATGAATGCCACCAAGCAATTGCAGGATAAAGGTTAAGTGTGGTGTAAACAGGGAAGAACGGAATGTATCATCTGTTTCTTGTTTTAAAAAATCTGTTTCTTTGTTTATATACTTAACGATATTAGTGAGTGATGAGAAAATAGATTCCCTCTAGTTCAGCAGGTACGTTTCTACTGGATCCAATGGAGTTGCACCTACTTACGTGGATACTAAGTTTGGCCAAAACATGTTTTCATTATGAAGCCAGCACTGGTAAGTCCCTCGTGTTTGGTAATACAGTTCTGTATTAATATGTTAAGTCCTTATTCTTCTGTTGGAATCAACTTCTTTTTGTCTGTCAGCAAGGTTTCAGAATTATTTAATCATCACATTAATTGTTCAGACTAATTTCAGAAGGGCATATTTTCCATTAGGTTGCTGTGCACGTTGGATATATTCAGTTGGGAGGACAAAGTCAAACTTTGAACTGATTTGTTTTCCATTACCCAAGTTAAGAGAACGCACTCGCCATTTACTCCTCCCTGGAATTATTATGAGGTTCTCCTCTTGTACAGTGCACACAGCTGTCTCCCTTGAAGCATCAAACATGTAGTGAGAGCTTATTCACACATAAATAAGTGTTAGTGCGTGTTCTGGGAATGTATTAACTTGCTGTTCTATGGCAGTTACCTGTCCAAAAAACCTGGATGAAGCAGAATGTGAGATTCTAATGTGTGTACACAAAGCTAACCATAGGGATGCTAGATTTATAAAATAACTCATTTTCATTAATTTTTGGAAGTTTGCTGTCAATGTTTGTCTTTTATTGCAGAGAAATAATCTGTGGCATAAAGAGCAACTCAGTTATGCTCCCCAAAATGGGGACATTTTATAAACAGTTTCAGATAAGCTATCTTAACCTTGCTAGTCTCGCATGTCAGTAGTCTTGCATGTTGGTTTAATTGTGTTTCAGAAAACAAAGCAATTGACAAAAAGTTTGTCTGCTAAAGCTTTTCACAAATGAAAGCAAGGCATGTTTGCACAATGGCAGGCAGTCCGGCAGAGTATCTTAATTTGCCATCTGTCAGATGAAACGCAATAGCTGCATTGGTGAGTACTGCAGCCTAGCTCCTAGGCTAGGAAAACAGGTCAGTCTGAGTCATTCTCCGGAGAAGTATGGATTTGGGATAGAGGTGGGGTTAGGTGGGAAATGTCAATAAAACTATTGCTTAGGCCTGGTTCAATTTAATTGTAATTAAGTGCTGTTTGCAGGCGAGATGCTTGGGCAACTGTCCACTATAAGGAATTGTGTAAAACCGGTCTGAAAAGGTTTGCACTATCCGGCCTTTGAAATGATAGAAGCCACTTATTTCTCACTTGCTTTTCTGCTGTTGCTGTCTGTAGAGATGAACCAGGGCAAAATGAAATGTTAAGGCTTATGCTGCTACGTTTTTACATCTGCAGACTCACTAGCTAAGTGTCATTTTTGGAGAAAAGGAGGCTGAGGGGAGACCTTATCGCTCTCTACAACTGCCTGAAAGGAGGTCATAGCCAGGTGGGGGTCGCTCTCTTCTCCCAAGGAACAAGTGATAGGACGAGAGGAAACGGCCTCAAGCTGCGCCAGGGGAGGTTTAGGTTGGATATTAGGAAATACTTCTTCACGGAGAGAGCGGTTAGGCGTTGGAACAGGCTGCCCAGGGAAGTGGTGCAATCCCAGTCCCTGGAAGTGTTCAAAAACCGTGTGGATGTGGTGCTCAGGCACATGGTTTAGAGGTGGACCAGGCAGTCAGGTTAATGGTTGGACTTGATGATCTCGGAGGTCCTTTCCAACCTTAACGATTCTGTGATTCTATGGTTTGCAGTCTGGGGTAAGACTAACTTGCCTTCTTCCAAAAGTTTTTGATGGAGATTCACTGCGTATAACACTTCCCCTAGGCTGTTCAGCTTACCGGCCAGGTGAGAGCCATCATCTAGTGCCGCAACACAAAATAACGAATGGAACAAATTCAGAATAAAAACAATGCCCCAACGTAATTTTCTACGCTAGCCGTTGCAGCGTGCGCAAAATGCTCTCGATGTGCCATTTAAAGCTGTTGCTGTAAGCCTGCGGTGAGGCCGGGAGGCGGCAGCATTGACGGCCGCTTTCCGCAGGCTTTCCCCGGCTGCAGCCCGGGACGGCTGCGCTGCGGCGCTCCGGGGAGCGGGCAGGGCCGCGCACAGCTCCGGCACCTCTGCTGTAGTACAAGGTACAGCTATTTGTCATATCAGGCTATCCCAGAATACTCAGAGAATGGATGAAGATACATACAAGATGGAAATACTTTTTAATTTGAGTTCTACAGGAGTGTACGTGATATCTGTCCGTAAATGTAACCCAAGACCTTTTTAGAACAAACTGTGAGATGCTCTTTTAGCTGCTCAGAGACATCTGTACGGCTGCCTGAGTTTTGGGGACCTAGGTAGTATCAAAGGTGTTGGTAGCATGTTTGGGGACCGGGCATTTTAAGAGTTTAGAATTAGGTGAGGGTGGAGCGGAGTGAGTTAGCATATGAGCCGGGCTATCGACTACTGGCATTCGAATTAACTTCCCTTCCTAAGACAAATCTTAACAATTTTCATACTGCTATCATAGGAGACTGTAGGTTTAAAACTGGTAAGCAACTCTAGGGTGTTTTCCTGAACTGGATTTCTTGAAGGAAGAAAGAAAAAAGCCAATAAAAATACTTCACTAAATAACAAACGGGTAAGCTCAGTGATAAGCTACTTAAAAACAAGGGCACTTTTTTCCAAAAATTTGAAATGTGATGTCTTTTTTATTTTCATTTTCAAAGCTGGGAAATGCACCAGATAACGAAAGCAAGAAATAGTCTTGAATTACAAGATTTGAATACGGTTTTAAGTTGCTTATTTACCCCATGTAGCTATTTTGTCCCTGGGGCGTATGTGACCGGTAGCCCCTGCTCCCGACCCCTGGTAATGTGGTTAGCGTAACTAACGCCATTTTATACAGCAAGCAGCCGTTCCCTGTCACCGAGCGGGTCAT